GTGTAATTAGGGGGTTTTGTCAAATTTTCCCAAAAATATAAGGCGGATGTATATTTATTTAAAGTTGAAAATATTGTAATTTTTTTTATGAAATTTATTTTTCAATGTGGTTAGATATGAACTTGAAAATAATAATTACATAATAATTGGTTTTTACTAATTCCAATATTTATGTTTTTACAAATTCGAACCTTTCGTCATGGGAACTTCCCAACTGTAGACCCTTGCAACATTTCGTGTTATTTATATAAAATAAATTTCAATTATTTAATTAATCATAACTAATTTTGCCAACCAGCCACCATAAGAATACATAAATCCATAGACAATAGTCATAAACTATTCACTATTAAAGCCACTTCATGATTTTCTCTACATAAACGAGAAATACGAAACGAAAAAAAAGGCAGACGAAATACACGAAAAATCACGAGCAAGTATAGTGAACAAACGAAACCCTTCTTTCACTTTAGAACAACAGTTCAGATTCTAAGGTTTATCAGTACATATTACCTCTTAAACTAGTAGATCGAGAACAGCAAAACAAGTGTGTGAACTGTGAAGTGAAATTTATCTTCTCAATTAACCGAATAAAGCCCACAAAAAGCTATTTCTAAATAATAAATTACTTCAATAGGTGTTTCAAATATCGAAAAATTGAATTTTGTACCAGGAAATTAATTATTCCTCAGTCAGTGCGTTTTCAGACGCGTCCTCCTCCACACTGGCTTCACCGACTTCCTCTTGAACTACTGATTGGGCCCCACCTTCCGGTTTAGTGGGTCCCGGCCCAGCTGAAACCTTCACCATTGATGGTCGCAAAAGTCTGTCACCAAGTTGGAAACCCTTTCTGTATTGTTCGATAATAATGCCGTCTTCGTATTCTGTCGAGTCTTCGCGCATTATAGCTTCATGTAGCTTTTGGCAACAGATAGTATGGTTAATGTCAGACAAAGAAAAACATGTTCTATAAGAAGTATATTTAGAATCTAACAAAAGAAAAATAAAAGAAGTTCAAAGGCTAATTTACACCTAGATTACAAACGAACGATCTTACAATAAACAAAAAAGAAGGCCGTAAAAATATATTTCCGACAAACGAGGTAAAATGTAAAGGCTTCTGCAAGATTTAAGACGTCAAACACTATCTCCTGGTCATAAACTCACCGAGCTGGCTCAAACCCAATCGAGATTCGAGAATATAGTTTGAGTTAAAAGCGTATCCAGGTCTCCTTAAAACCTGAATAAGCTTTATACAGCTTCTCAAAGAGTTCATCTATTACTCGACTGTATTCTGAGCCAACTCGGAGGTTTACCTGCATTGACCCAAATGACCAGAGAGCGATTGTAAATAACAAGGCCATCGAAAAATAATATTTTTTTAGAAACATAACATCTTTATGACTATATTCGTCAGAAAATTGCTCTATACCCGTTAACCCCCACCTATTAGCATTATTTGCTGTCATTGAAATAAATACCTCAGTAAAATAATAGGAAACTTACCATGGGATCGAATGGTTTCCCCACAGTCTCCACAGGAACAACACCAAGTGATCCAAGAATTTCTGCAAACTGTTTGGATATGCTCTGATAACTGTTATTGATCTTCTCCTCTCCTTCGTTTTCGATTTTAATTTGGGCTTTAGCTCGTTCGAAATTATCCAAAACGGGCAACAAACTCTCCACAACTTCACCTTTTGCGTTTGTCACAAGTGAAAGACGTTCTCTCTCTGTTCTCTTACGGAAATTGTCGAAGTCAGCACTGATTCTAAGAACTCTGACTTTCTCATCGGATAGTTCTTCGGATAAAGCGGCCACCTTACTCTCGAGATCAAGTTTCTCATCCTCGATCGATTTAAGAAACGATTCCACTTCAGCCACTTTTGAATCATCGTTGTTTGCTAAAGCCTCTTTGTACAAATTTAGAGAAGCTATGACAACAGAACTAGACTCTTCGATAACTGTGTCATCACTCTCACTCGAATCATCAATATCAATGGCACCATCTGTGTTCTCCTGTTCATCGAAGTAAAAATCATGAAGTAAAATTAACTTCTTTTCTGGCAACTGAAACATTTGAATTGATTTTACTTATCCGTATTTTCAACAATAAAGAAACTATAAATGGTTGCTATCTAAATAAACCTAATATCGGTGTAGTGAGTGTTTAGTATGTGATGGTAACAAGTGAAAATGGATACCCCGACACATAATCTTGCAAATCGAATAAGAGAAAATTGCCAGTGCCAATTTTGCAAGAGAAGCATGTTGAAAAACGTCGACACATAATTTATTATTTTTTTTTCTAGCTAAGTAATGTTTGTGAACTTGCTGATGGCACAGTTGCTCAATAATACCATTTTTATACTTCACATACTATAAGCTTTTGCTGTTGAGAACTTAACCACCATACGAAATTTCACGTAAGCAAGATACTTTACAGTAATAGATAGAACATATTTTCCCGATAATTTTGAGCTGCCGTTGCTTTCATTACGTGAAGTCTAACATTACGCTTCATTCCAACAAAATTATCAATTGCAACTTTTTTCGCCCTGTATCACTGTATCAAATGATTTAAGCTCAAACCTACGACTATAGTTAATTGCTAATTAACTTTAAACTTCAGAAGAACTGCTAATTAATGAATTAACATGAACGCACACCAGCACTCGGTAAATTAAGTAAAGGAAGAATCATCAATTGCGCAGTTCAGTTACATCTATATCGCATCATTCCTCGTGTTTCTGTGTGTGTGTGTGTGTGTGTGTGGGATATACACTGTTTTCTCTACCAAGAGAAAGCAATGTAAGCTAAAAACAGAACACGTTAACGAAACAAGTTTCGTATCGGAAACAACAGTGCTCGAAGAATCCCCTTCCATTAATCTTGTAGTATTGTTCATCACAAATTACTTACGAAAATAATGGAATAAAATAGCAAATAATCGAACTTTCAATAAGAAATGCGACATCCCAAAGAAGAAACATATCAATTCAACAGAGGCCAAAAAATACGAAAATTAAAATAAAAAATTAAAACAGAATAAACAGTTCACATAATGAAAAAACATAATTACCTCAATTTCGGGTTCGGATACGGATCCTTCGACCGGGTCCTTCTCCTGGATCTCCGTTTCGGCCTCCGCGGTTTCTCCATTAGCAGCAAAGGTCAACAATTTCTTCGCTGAGCGGCTAGGCAACACAACACTACTCTGCTTGTAAATCCGACACCTTATCACTGGAAATCCATTGGATATGAAGGAAACGCGCGGGAAATTGAGCGATTTGAAGGAGGAAGCACCGCCTCCGGCGGTGCTGCAGAGATACGCCGCCGGTGTAGTGAAGGTAGGTGGCGTTTTTAACACAGTGGTGGCCATTGGAGTGAGAGAGAGGAGAGAGAGAGAGGATAAAAGGTGGGAGGAACAGTAGCGGATTGAATATGAGGGTTTAATGTGTATAGATCCTATCGCCACTATTTAATTTTATATATACTAACATTTTTTAAAAATAATATCATATGCTTTTAGAAATGTAATTCAAATATATAAATATTCATTGAATTTAATATATATATATATATATATATATATATATATATAAGTTTGTTTTTAATTAAATCAAATTATGTTAATTTAATTGTTAATGTATATTGTTGCTATTGTTGATATTTAACTTATATTTTGAAATTAGGGAAGTACACGAGTTGATCAAACAGAGAATGCACGAACTTGGTCTTTCTGATGATGGGTGAGTTTGAGCTTATTTTCAATCGTTCGAAAGATCACGAGTCGTACTGTAAGTTTTTTTTTTTTTTTTTATGTATGTTTTGATATAAATATAAATATATACAAAAATACTAGCAATAATAATTAAATAAAATTAAGTTTGTAATATATTTGAAAAATAAGTTTGGTATTTTTAGTACTTAAAACAATACTAGTTATTTTTCTTATAGATATATAATTAAATGTTAACAACAAAGGAAAAAATAGGGAAAATAAAGTGTTGATCCTTCAACTTTGCACTGTTTTCACATTTGGTCCTTCATATTCACAAGAAAAAAAAAAACATTTCGTCATTCATGTCTCATAAATTTAGGGACGGCAATGGGTCGGTTCTGGGTCGGGTTTGCCTAAACCCAAGATCCGACCCACGAAAAATATATAAACCCAAGACCCGCACCAACCCGTTTTAGCTTAGACCCAGACCCGCCCCAATCCAGACCCTAACTAAACGGTTCTGACCCGCCAGACCCGCTAGACCTGTTAACATACAAAAAATTTAATATTTCTTAACTTTCATAACATTTGCTTGTATATTTTTACGAAATAATCTTAATACTAAAATACAATATTTTTAAAAATCTCTACAAGTGATATAAGATGAACAATACAATTACAATTAATTATATGTAACTTCGATAATAAGTAAAATTCAAAATGCAAGACAATTAGCGGTGGTCGACAAGTGATAAATATTAATCATGAGAAATGAGATTCGAAAAATAAAACAGTGTAAAATAGGTAAAATGAGAATAGACAAAATGGAAATTGATAGTTTGATAAATGAAATCTGAAATTATATATATATATATATATATATATATATATATATATATATATATACGGGTCGGTTCTGGGTCGGTTCCAATAAAACCCGTAACCCGACCCAGAACCATCCAGTTCTAGAAACTTAAACCCATTATCCGACCCAAAACTATTTAGCTGACACATACCCGCCCCAAACAGGTCGGTTCCGGGTCCAAGACCCGCCAAACCCGTACCCATTGCCATCCCTACATAAATTCAACATTCTTAGTCCATTTTGTCAAATTTCTGTTAAAACTAACGGAATCAAGTGTGTGCCTAACTGGCGTACTAACGGTAAGTTGAAATTAATTGAAACATAAGGGATCAAATGTGTTTTTTCTGAACATAGATGATGGAATATGAAATCGATGCAAACTTGAGGGGTCAAAACTGTAATTTCCCGAAAAATAGGTTTGATCGAGTTCAACTCGTACTAAATTTTATTTAAATATACTTATGCTCGAGTGAACGACCGACTCAAACTCAATTCATTTACACTCCGATAAGAAATGGAGTACTAGTAAGTTCGAATTAACGATCGAATTATTGAATATGTTTGATTTCATTCTATTTTTCTTTGAGCCTTGCATAATAATGCTCTTCTTGTGCAATTCTCATACTCATGTTTCTTTCTTCAAAATATTTACTAATATATGAAAACATGATTTTATTATGATATGTAAGATTAATAATCATTTAAATATAGTTTTGTCTAAGAGCAAATGTACTTGGTCAGCCAAAAAAACTTTATTAAATAGTGCGAAACATCTAGAATGTACTTATTGAAAAGGAATAATGGAATATACGTACACAAATTAAAATCATAAACAAATAGCATTTGTTTTAATTCCAAATTAAAAGTAATGTACACATTAATCATGGATCTAAATCTCACCCCTTTAATTACTGAAACGACAAGCAAATTATTCTGACTAGATCTCAATTCTCAAGTATGCAATTTTACGCATAAATAAATTCTAAATTATTCATTTATTTTTTATTTTTCATAATTAATTTATGCACTCATCCATGCTTGTTTTGGAGTTACTTTGAACAACATTTTTTTAATATATTAATTTATTTAAATAAATCTTTAATAGTAAGAACACAATAAATATATAGGTGGAGTGCAATTGCAATATATATATTGACCGTGCCCAATGGTCAAGTGCAAGAAAAGTTGACTTGCATATAACAAATGCTACTCGATTTTTTTTTTCATGAAATATCTATAAAAAAAAAACTGAAAAAAATAATATAAAATATGTAAATTATATTATGTGTAAGATTTTAAATTTCAATTTATATATATTTTCTTCCTTGACAATTAGTCCTTCTTTGTACATTTTATCGCACTTCGGGTTTGAAAAAGGTATATTTTAAAAACATAGTGGTAATATCTTAATAACATAGAAGTTTAAGGGCTTCCCAATAATTAACAGTGAAAACTTTTACTGGAATGGGGGAGTACGAAAATTAGATTACTGCCAGGACAATAATTCTCCTTCCAGACTGACACACAGTCTCTAAAAAACGGAGCACACCAAGATCTAACCTGGCGTTAGCATTTTCGAACAAACAATAATACTTCCGAGTAGAGAGAGAGAGGAGAGAGAGAGAGAGGAGAGCCGAGAGAGAGCTGATTCAGAGTTCTGTTCTCTCAATTACATTTGAAAAAAAATTAAAACACAATCTCTCTCTCTACTGCTCAATAATTCAGCACAGTGCTTGATTTTCTCTCTCGTTATTTTTTTTTTAATTTTTTTTTTTTAAATCAAAGATTGAATTTTTATTGTGAAAAATGAGTAGCAGCAAAAGAGAAGAAGAGAGAAACGAGAAAATAGTGAAGGGTCTTTTGAAGCTCCCTCCCAATCGCCGATGCATTAACTGCAACAACTTGGTAATATATTTTTATTTATTTTTAATTATTAATTTCTTAATCTCATTTCAATTTTTTTTTTTTTTTTGTGCTTCAGTTTAATTGAATGAATAGTTTATAGTTGTGTAATATATTCTTTTATTCTTAGTAATTATTTTGCAATTTTTTTGTTGAATCTAAACATTTTTTCTATGAATCTATTCATGAGGGAAATTACAGAAAAGCTTGAATTTTTATGTTTTGGATTCATATTTTTTTTAATGTAATTTTGGATGTAATTATTTTTTTTTTTTTGAATATTTATATATTAAATTATATGGGTGCAGGGTCCTCAATATGTGTGCACAAATTTTTGGACATTCATTTGTATTACATGCAGTGGAATACAGTAAGTTGTTCATCTTCTTCTTTCGTGTTTCGATAAGCCTACTTTTCGAAGTAATCGATTAAATTGTTATTTATGGTTGACGAATCTCTCTTTCAAATTTTATGGTTGATGATCATATATATAGCTTTTCGAAATATCGATTAAGTTGTTATTTATGGTGGTCAAAGCTTTCGTTTCATTTGTATGATTAATGATCGTATAGGGCACCTTTCGTCTAATCGTTGCGCTACTTAGTACATAATTGTTAATTCGACGGACGAAAGAAATTCAACTGGTAAGTACTAATACCCGTAGTCGTTTAGAATATATTTTGTCGAGAGACTTTGGAAGATTATATTGGAAAAACTCTACGAATTCTCTGTACTCGAGATACATGAAATTTGATTTATGTGAATGTGAGTAATTCGTCGAAAAACTTGTGATTATGGATCAGTGTGCTGCTTTATGTTTGATAAGCTAAGTCATACTTACCTCCATTTTGTTCAGTGGCGAAACTGTATTTTCTACTCTGTTTTTGTTGCAGTCGTGAGTTCACACATCGTGTCAAATCAGTTTCCATGGCGAAGTTCACCTCTCAAGAAGTGGATTCCCTTCAAAAAGGCGGCAATCAGGTAAAAATACGATCTTTGTTCTAAAATAAAATAAAATAATAATAATAATAAAAATAACAATCTTGTTGCAGAGAGCAAGGGAGCTATATTTGAAGGCCTGGGACCCACAGAGGAACAAACTTCCGGATAATAGGTCGGCAAAATTACGTTTCTTGATTAGATGAAAGAAGCGGTTTTTTAAAGATTGAATTTTTATTTTTTTTTAACTCTTGCATCTCTGTCTTGCAGCAATGTTGATAAAGTTCGTGAGTTTATAAAGAACGTGTACGTGGATAAAAAGTATTCCGTCGAGAATTCATCTGACAAGCCTCCGAAAGATCCACAGGTTGTGCTTTTGTGACGAAGATAATTTAAATAAGGTTACGTTGCGCATGTGAAATATAAGTCTAAAATTATCGGTTACGGAATTTTCGACAGAGCTTGAGAACCAATGAAGACGAGATGAGGCGAGCGAGTTCGTATCATTCTTTCTCTCAAAGCCCGCCGTACGATTTTCAATACGAAGAAAGGCGAAACGGGAAACATGCACCTGCATTAACAAGAAAGCCTGGTTCTGATCGAGGCGTTTACGAGGGGAAGCTTGCTGGTTTCTTGGGTCCCACTTTGTTTGGTGACGGTGGAAACGACGACAGGTGTCGTAACGAGGGATCTTGTCCCAGGTTGTCGGATTACTCCGTTTCTGGTGGAAGCCCGTTTAGTGAAGCTTCTAGAGATATCTCGAATGGAGTTCCGAATAATTCGCAGGTTATTTTTTCTCTTATGTCATCTGCGTATTTGGTTTGAAGTGTTTTAGAAGGCACGACAAATGAAAACCCTAGAAAATTTTACAATTTATTTTCGGTTTCGTTTCCGACAAATGCCATTCTCTACGAAATAAAAACCGAAAATTGAATATACTTCTTGTCTAATATTTTCTGATGTATACTATATACTCGTGTACAGACAGCTGCATCAGTTTCCGGAACCTTTGATAGTGGCTTGGACCTCTTCAGTACATCTTTTGCATCGCAAAATGTCGTTTCTACCCCTCCAACCGATACTTATTCTCAATCGCCACAAAATCCGCCGCTAAACTTGTTTGCCCCCGTGTCACAGCTTCAATCCGCCGCATCTTCCACCGAAAAGACTTCCGATTCGATAGTGCCGAACAATGGTGGATGGGCAACGTTCGATACAGCTCCGAACGTGGATCCTACGGTTAATGACAATTCTGCCCCTGCCCCTGCCACCATGCAGTCTTCCGATGGAAATGTTTTTCGAAATTTCAACCCATTTTCGATTGATCGAAATTCCTCCCATCAAGATTCTGTGTCAACAAATATTTTTGGGCACGAAGTCTCTCGGAATTTTGAACCAACTGTAAGTAACAATCGTGTAAGCACTGTTTCTATTTGTATTAGCACAAGGTGATTAAAAAGATCGACTCTTTGGAATTTATTATTTTTGCAATAAAATATTCTGCAGCTGTGGAATGCGTTTGACGGTTCCGATGAAGGACAGCCAATCGAAAATGTAGTAAAAGATTACGAGAAAGAAGTAGCCGCGCACTGTGCTTCTGATGCTGATAAATTTCCTGGATTTAGTGTATACGAGGTTACTGCAACATCCCTTTGAAATCGAGTTTATTGCATTTAGTACCCCTGTGTTATATCGAATTGCTGAAAACCCCCTCGTATTATAGATATTAGCAAAAAGACCCCCTAAATGGTTGGTTTTTACTTTTTAGTGAGTAGTTTGCTAAAAAAATTGCATCATAAGGGGGTTTTCGCTAATATTTATAACACGGGGAATTTTTTAATAATTGTTTTTGTTCGATTAATAATTTAATATGTTCAGTATTTGATGATTAGTTTCTTTCGAAATTGCAGGACAAGATACATTCGTTTGCAAATGATCATAGGCCGATAAATCCATTCGACCTGCCCTATGATTCCGATATGGAATCTAGCTATACGGTATGTCTGTATAAGTAACGAAATACTATTATTTTTATTTTAATAATTACATTTGGTCCCGATTTCAGCTTATTCGAAATTACGTTGAAGCCACTACTTCGATATATTTCAAGAAACATATTTAAGTACATTGGTTTATTTTAATTATCAGTTGTGGAATATGAGCTCTTTGGAAGCTGCGTTGCCGAATAGCCAGGTGGCGGCGTCTTCCTATAATCAATCATGGTTCCAAATGCCGATTAACCAAATACCGTAAGTATCCTCTTACTTGTATATTCTTGATGTATTTTCAAACTCAAATCTTGATCTGAAATCATCGATCGTTACCTAAAAATTATGCTCGTTTTCTTTTTTTTACTTGTGAATATGCTGTAACAACTCGAAATTGCCATCCTTGCAGGAATATTCATGCTCAAGGAAGCACGGTTGCTTATGTTGGTGGAAATCCGTTTGCATAGCTTTCGATTTCATTTGTTAATATTTATTGAGTGTGTGTAATAATAATAGCGGTTTAAAGGCTAAATCATTCATTCTAGAAATTTGCTTCTTAACTTAACTCTCTCGTTTATATTTTATTTCGAGAATGCTATTTATCGATTTCGGGCACCGTTTTTTTTTTTTTTTTTTTTTTTTTTATAAAAACTAATCGATCCGACCAAAATATTTGTCATTTTGAGCTAGCGAAAACGTATCAAGAAAATTAATAAATATGCATGAATTAATTGTTTCACCATTAAAAAAACTCTTATTAATAAATTATTAAAAATCTAAAATGATATTTACTTTGAAAAAAATTCTCTAAAGTGACAAGTAAGGTGTGCATTTCCCAATATTATCATATGGAGTTTATTACAATTACTACCCCTATATTATATCAAATTGTTAAACACCACCCCATGTTATTTAATTGGCAAAACCCCCCCCTATAATTTAATTTTTGTCAGCAATTAGTACCCCTGTTCAGGGGGTTGTGTGCCATGAAAATTTGAACCAAAGGGGGGATTTTACCAATAAAATAACATGAGGCAGTTTTTCAGCAATTTGATATAGTATAGGGGTACTAATTGCAATAAACCCTTATCATATGATTCTTCTACAGTTGAACAAAAATCCCAATTTGTCACCTGCTTCAACCAAACTTCCCCAAACCCCAAATCACAATTCAACACAAATTAGATCTCCCCCACCGGCCAACCACCACTCCGATTCCGCCGCCGCCGCCGCCGCCCCAACCCCAGAAATGGAGGGCGGAAGCATCCTGGAAACGATCGGCCACGAAATCATCGGCGTGATGTCGCCGGTCTCAATCTGCATGCTCCTCGTCGTCCTCCTCGTCTACTCCGTGTACAACCCCTCCTCCGCCGCCGCCTCCGCCACCACCATCCGCACCGCCGCCAATTTAGTCTACCTCGAGTCGCCGAGCGACTCCACCGCGCAGAAGCTCGAGGGCGCGGTCCTGAACGCCGTCGTTTTCGTGGTCTTCCTAACCCTAGTCACCTTCCTCCTCCTCCTCCTCTACTACTACCGCTTCAACAATTTCCTCCTCTACTACACCCGCTTCTCCGTTTTCACCATCTTCTCCACCATGGGCAGCTCCATACTCATCTCCATCGTACAGAGGTTCAACATTCCAATCGACGCCGTCACTTTCTACGTCCTGCTGTTCAATTTCACCGTCTTGGGCACGATTTCCGTTTTCTCAAACGGAATCCCGATCATCGTGAAGCAGAGCAACATGGTGGTTTTGGGAATTATCGTGGCTGCCTGGTTCACGCGATTGCCCGAATGGACTACTTGGGTTGTTTTGGTGGCACTGGCATTGTACGATTTAGCGGCGGTCTTGGCTCCGGGCGGTCCGTTGAAGCTGCTAGTTGAATTGGCTTCGACTAGAGATGAAGAGCTGCCTGCATTGATTTACGAGTCGAGACCGAATATAGGGAGGAATTCCGCAGCTAGGGATTCAAGTTTAGGGCTTTTCGTTGCAGCAGGACTCGGTATGTCTACTGATAATAACAATAATAACAATAGTAATAGCGGTTCGGTAGAGTTACAAGACATGTTGAGGAATGGTGATAGCAACAACGGAAACGAGGCTCGAGGAGGGGGAGATTCAGTCATTTCAGTAGAGGAAGATGGAGGGGAGACTTCACCTTTGATGCAAAGGCGATTAAACGACACCACTGATTATAATAATAATTCGGATAATAATGGAAGGGTTTTGCGAGGGGATCAGACGGAAGAGGTGGAGATGGAAGAAGTGAATTCGAGGGGGATAAAGCTTGGAATGGGGGATTTTATATTCTACAGTGTACTCGTGGGAAGGGCGGCAATGTACGATCTGATGACCGTTTATGCTTGTTATCTTGCGATTATATCGGGACTTGGTTGTACTCTGATATTGTTGGCTGTTTGCCGTCATGCATTGCCAGCGCTTCCTATTTCGATTACTCTTGGGGTCGTATTTTACTTCTTGACGAGATTGTTGATGGAGCCGTTTGTGGTGGGGTGTTCTACTAATTTAATGATGTTCTAGTACAGCGCATTTGATTTAGTGAAAAATGGATTTTGTGGATTTGGGAATGTAGATAAACTTGTATGCACCGCAACGAGTGCTGTTTGAAAATGGGGTTTTAAACTGCTCCCAAGACAGCTTATGATCCATTTTAGCTTATGATCCATTTCGTACAGGAATGAGTCGAATGACGAGTGAATTCTTTGCATCGCAGGTCTGATTTTGTTGTTTACAGCTTACAAATAATGATCTGCGTGTAATTTATTGCTAGAGAGGTGAAACGGAACTCTGTTTTCTTGATTCCAGTTTCACTTTTTGTAGCTTTTATGTTCTTATACACTACTTGGTGAGAATTCGAAGTGCTGACTTCCATTAACAGTAGTTTACGGTTTTGGCTTTAGTAAGAATCGTAAGTGAAAAGGAAGTCTATTTATCTTCCTTTTGTGAGGGTGTTGCCTGTTGAATTATCTATACATAACCATGGTGCCTGTTTGATGTATTGGTTCGCCCTTTTTTGATGTGATTGTGGAAGTAGAATTGTGTACTTTGTAGCTTTTCGACTCACTGCGTCGTTTTTTCACTCATTTGTGATCCGAGACAGACTTGGGTTTGATATTATTAGATTATATTCCATATTTGGCAAATAGGAGAAAGTCTTGAAAACAATGATCCAACGATCTGCTAACAATTGAAACTATATGCAAACGACGAAAAGCTTTTAACTCAAATAAACCTTTACTATCATGCACATCAGTGAAAGTTGAATTCTTGCCGGAAACTGATCATTCTGAAAACAAACAGCATTTGAGTTATTCTCTTACATTTGAATTCATAACCAGACATGTTCGGGAATCGAGATATTTTTTTATGGCAATATACACAATCAACGAGACCTAATAAGAAACTTTTCAGTTACATATTGTCTTCTACTGCACTTCATTTCATTCAGTTCTTGTTTCCTCTGATTTATCTTCATGAAGTTTGCTTGCTTCGCCTTCGTTTTCAGTTTCTTTGGGCGCTGAGGTTTTCGAAACTAATTGCCCCACCTTAACATACTTCTCCATGAACTTATATTCCCAATCTTGAAGAACCTCCAATTCAGATTCACTCAGACCTTCGACATTCCCAGTGAGGTCTGTAGGTTCAAACGACATGAGAGCCAGTGCTCTGCTTGCATCTCTACCAGCAAACAGTGCGTAGGGCCCACCGGGTCCGTAAAACATTCTGCCATAACATTGATTAAGAAATGAGATAGTACCAACAAAATATAGTAAACCAAAGCTTAGAATTTGAATTGAACTTGCAAATCAAAGAAAGATGCATATATACCAAGTCGTGTCAGATTAACGTGCAAATGTGAAAGTAACAACTGAAAAAACTAGCAACAAAAAGAGCAAATTCCAGTAAAACAGCAGTCAAGACCAAGAATATAGCCTCCTATATGATAAGTTGAATTCGGTAAATGATACATGAAGCACAAAATTATCTGCAATAAGCTCCCAAATGATAAGTTCTATCAGCTTCTGTTCTGATAACAGACAACAGAGTTAGCAGACAAATCCCATTAGTTTTAAGTGTTAGGTTACCGAGCGAATTTGGTTTTACCTCCATCGAGCGGATATAAGAAACTTTTGGAAAATGTCACTAACAAGAAGAATGCCAAAGATTACTTTACTGGACCAAACTCATTCACAAGAAGATGTTCCTCTAAAATGTAAATATTAAATATTTATCCAGCTTTTTTTTAAGCTCTCATTAACTGTACCGTAACTCCTACACAAGGACTGTACTTTAGTAACTAGTATAAATCAAACACGTGGTAGCCTAAATCTAGGTTAGACTCACACTAAGTAAATGCAGCATGTCGACCCGACCAATATCTTGGTAACTCAATAATGGTAAATTTAAGAAGATTGGTTGTATGAAATTGAACGGATAATCTTGTCAACTTTTTAGCTCAAATTTCCTTTCGAATCGAAATCTTTACCATACGAATTAGTTGCTGTTTTGCCATGCTGATAACCTATCTCGAATCAATTTGTTAACATACTACTCTTCAAAAATTCTATGCAACACTCGGTTGAATGATTAATTGTGGTATCTCTTGCACTTCACAGAAGAAAAAGATAATAAATTCTTTTGATCATTTTAGCAACTGTTACATGAGTGTAAATTGAAAGCCACTGAATTAGGGTTTTTTTTTTTTTTTGATGATTCCCCTCACTTAATAGGAAATCAGCACACATAATTAGCACTAAATTACCTCGGTAATTCGCTAAATTTGAAAATTTCCGATAATTTCCAAACTACCAACCAACAAACAATACCAAAAAAAAAAAAATGGAGTACACTTTCTGAAGTCGATCGGTAAATTTACCTGGAACGAGAGACGTCGTAGATCTGTCCTTTGATAGCCATGAGCAAGGGTTTGTTCGGGTCGGAGCCGTCGTAAGCTCTCAGCTCCTCCTCCGTGACGGCGTCGCCCATCTGAACCGGCTCGCGGAGGGCGAATTCGTTTGCTCTTTTGACGGCGGCGTAATCGTCGGCGGCGACAAACATGCCGCTGACCACCTTGTAAGTGACGTACATCAACGCCAGTATGGTGAAAAACGCCGTCGGAGACACCTACGATCCTTGGTTGCTGTAACTCAA